GCCACATAATTCCTGTTCTGTGGCATGAGAACAACTCTTATTACATCCTCTTACACACCTGTTTTCTTTCTTTATATGCCTTTGCCTCCTCTGTCAGTGCTAATGTTTCCTTGAATAACAAAGTCTCCGGAGAGATCCGAATGGCATCGAAGTGTTTACAAAGCCACATTGCCTGGGGGAAGAAAAAAAAAAAACCACGAGTTGAAATATTTGGAAGGAAAATGAAGCACTTGTTTCAAAAGGCTGCAGAAAGACAGCACTTTCCTAGCTGTACATTGAAGTGTACAGACTATGTGTCTAACTTTGAGCAGGTTTCTTATAAAGATGTCCAAGAGTCTACAGCTTGGAATGAGGGATTTTTCATCTCCTGTAGCACAGCACAGGTTTTAAAGCAGAAAGCTTTCTCTCCAGCACACATCCCATCAGCTGCAGGTTCTGTGGTCAGCCTTCCTTGCAATTAAGCATTGCTAGTGGACAGGAGACAACTGACCAGGCAAACCGGACACTGAACACCACAAATGTGACGTTAAGGTACTTCTCAGAGGTTAATTAATCTTGCTAAAAAGATGGGAAAACAAGGCAGGCAGAATTCTGCTGCAATCCAGCAATATCACTACCTGAGTGAGTTCTCACAGAGCCCACTAGAAAATATCCATTTAACCTGCAGTGCAATATACAGGTGTATCCCTCAGGAATTCCACCCTTCAGTTTGCCTTGGGATCTTCTATCATTCAGATAAATCCGAACATTATTTTCCCAGAATAAAATTCACACAACTGCTGAGCTCAGTGCAAAGTAAGCAGGGAAGTTGGCAGTGTTCTAACACTGGAGGTAGTTTACTTACAACTGTAGTTTTCCCAGAAGCAGGTGGGCCAAGTACACAAATTCTTGGAGCTAGGAAACAAGGATATATGAATGTCAAGATGAAGAACAGCAAAATTCCAACCAGTTTCTCACTATTGCATTGCATAATATCCATATAGTCACAGTGAAATAATTATTTCCATTGGAAAGGTGCCTGAGTGGAGACTTTGGGACTGGGATCCACTGGGGGAAAAAAAAAGGGGGAACAGCAAGTTAGTGCCAGCTGGGTCCTCCCTTAATCTCCATGGTCAATGAGATTAACACTCTAACTATGCCACTTGGAGAGACAGGAGGTGTATGTATAGATAGTGAACCAGTCCACAACACACAAACATTTCCTTATCCAAGTTTGACTTTTATCCCCAAAATATTGATTTAGACCTCACACATTTTGTGACAAAAAATTATTTCCCTTGTTAGTTTTACCTAAACAGGTTGTGCCAGGGTTCAGAGAAGATGAATCATTCTTGCTATACTTTCTGACAGCTACCTGCAATTTTTCTAGTCATCGTTAAAAGTAATTCCCCTCATTTCTCTATCTTGTGTTTCCCTACTGCACATCCCTCTCCCTTCCCTGAGGGGGCAAGAAATGCATCCCTGGTCTGAGGAACTCTTAATCCAGTGTTTACACACAACACAATAGGCATCACCATCATTAGCTTTATTGGGAATGAATTAGAGGCAAAACAAACAGGGGAAAATGGAGTAACTCCTAGGAAAGCATCTGGAACTTTTTCCATAGATACACCTTGGGCTGCAATCCCTTGAGCTGTCGTTTTATATTAACAGCTTTGATGTTTTCCCCCCTAAACCACAAAGAAAAAAACACCCAAACCAGACTCTGTCCAGGAGGGACTGGTTAGTATTACTGAGAGTAACATAAGTCAAAGCACAGGAGGAATCTACTCACCCCAAACCCTCTCCAGGTCTTGCTAACCAGGGGAGAGATTGTCTGATGGTAGGAGACAGGGAAGGATGTGAAATGGATGTGAAATGAGGCTTTCCATGCACTTAGCAGTTATTGGGCAGGTGCAATTTTTAAACATACATGAAACCCAAATTACAGATTCATCTTTACAAAGTTATCTGACTTGGAAGGTTTAAGAACAACTCCCCCCTTATTGGTTCTTGCAAGTGCAACAGAACTAGTACACAATGTAGAAAAATACTTTAAAAGGATACATCAGCTGTTTTTATCACCTAATTTCTTTCAAATGTAATGTGATTAAATCCTAGGGTTTTTTTGGTGGTTTTTTTTTCCAATCTAACACCTTGAAACTCCAGGCTGGTACTTAGGAATTATTTATAAACAGCGTCATAAAAGAGTGCTTGGGTGCCAACACTAATCAACTTCTTCAAACCACTTCAAAGCAAATCAAAAAACCTTTCCATCCACAGATCCTTTTGAGGTTTAACTAGGAGCATGATTTAAAATTCACAAGAAAGCCCTTAGGTATTGAAGCTTTAATACACAGCTTTCTTGGACAAACGTTTGATAAAAAACGAAACATACCATTATATACACCATCTCATGCTTTAATATTGCCCAGGGCTACTGTAAATGCTCACTTTGTACTAAATCTGGTTTGCTCTCTGCTTAGTGCCTGGCAGCAGATGGGGCAGTGTAATTCACTGATTCACTCATTTGCACACTTGTAAGACTCCTCTGCAGAATCCTCCCTAAACACTCGACACAGGGCACAGCCAGGACAACACTGATGTCGTGTTTAACCCTCTCTGAGCAACACAAAGTCAGGACTCAATACAGGAGCAGCTAAATACAGGCAGGAAATTCTGCAAAATGCCTTTTTCCTCAGTAACAAATCGTACTTGAAATTGCTAAGAGGACTGGAGCACCTCCCCTGTGAGGACAGACTGAGAGAGTTGGGGTTGTTCAGCTTCGAGAAGAGAAGGTTGTGTGGAGATCTCATAGTATCCTCTCAGTATCTGAAGGGGCTACAAGGAGCCAGAGAGGGACTCTGTGTTAGGAACTGCAGTGATAGGGCAAGAGGTGATGGGTTCAAGCTGAAGGAGGGGGAAGTTTAGATTAGATTAGCATTGGAATGTGCTGCCCGGGGAGGTGGTGGATTCACCATCCCTGAAGGATTTCAAGATGAGACTGGATGTGGCACTTAGTGCCATGGTCTAGTAACCACAGCAGGGTTGGACTTGATGATCTTGGAGGTCTTTTCCAACCTGGTTCATTGTATGATATTAGGAAGAAGTTTTTCCCCTGTGAGGGTGGTGAGATGCTGCCCCAGGTTGCCCAGGGAGGCTGTGGTTGCCCCAACCCTGGCAGTGTTCATTCCAGGTTGGATAAACCCTTGAGCAACCTGCTCTGGTGGGAGGTGTCCCTGCCCAGGGCAGGGGGTTGGAACCAGAAGATCTCTAAACTCCATTGCAACCCCTAAAATTCTATTATTCGATGATATTTCATTCCTTGTTTAGTCTTGATGAGATGTTACAGAAATTACTCTTCCAGGTAAAGTTTTAACATGCCACAATGATTTTAGCAATGACAAAAGTAAACCTTTTCTAGGATTACTTAAATATAGGCAATATAGACTCATAATATTTTGCCTATGTAAAATAATGCAAAAGAACAGTTAGACTCACTGAGTTCCCCTTAAATCCAAAAGATTAATAATGATACAACAAAATTTGCTTAAGTTATAAGAGAAATCCTTT